ACCCATACACCAGACCCTATGCTCCCGCCAAACTATTAGCGGCATACATACACTAACACTAAAGCGATGCGCCTCGTGGTGTCAATCAGCTCCTCACCATTCTATCTAGTCGCACTTCTACCGAAAATGTTCTCCAGCATGAACTGCTCGTGAGCACCCTCACAAGCATCCACGACCCTTTGTGCCAGCGCCGCTCTCAGTCGAGCCGCCGCGCATTGACCCCGATCGAGCGAGCGACAAGTCTCACATCTCTCAATCAGCTCTCTACTCGCAGCGCTCCAGCTCTCTGCAGGCGCTCCTCGTCGACAAGCCCCTCAACGGAAGTGTATACGCCGCTTGATCTTCGCATATTAACACGCGTAGGTGTGACTATAATTACTGAGAGAGTATATAGGAAATCCAGATATCCCGGACAACGCTGAGCGGAGCGAGCTCGAACAGGACGATCCCGTTTTGTATCTAAGATCACGCGGGGCAGAAGGTTGAAGGAGCGGGGGATTGTGGTGGAGAGAGGCAGAAGGGTGATGTGGTTGGAGAGGATTTGTAGAGCGAGTAAGGGAACATGGGGGGAGGTGTGGCTCAGAAGAGGAGTGGCGAGGGAGGCGCGCGATAGACGGGTTGGGGAGGGTGGATGGGCGTGGAGCGAACGATTTGTTGAGCCAAGAGTGCAAGTGAGTGGTTCGGATTGCAGAGCGCGGGTTGAGGTATTAAGCGGTATGCGTGCGCGGATCCGGGTCGAGGGTGTTGCCAAGAGAGAGCCAGTGGCGCACCATCGACTACAGAACGCCTGAGCGGGAATGAATGGCGGAGGGAGGGTTAGGTCGTGGCTTAAAAATGGATTGGGCTATCTGGAGAGGGGTTTGCGTGGGAGAAGCTGTCGAGGGGAGAGAGAGTGGGTGCGTCGGTACGTACGTCAGCGAGATGCGTGCGGTGCCGAGGAGAGGAATGACTGGGCTAATGGGAGAATCCAGGGAATGGGGGACCGAGTCACTGGTGGCGAGAAAGGGGAGGCGATGGCAGTTTTCACATGGGCATACTGAGTGATGGAGGAAAGACGCCTCTCGCCCGATGAGGAGAGTTGAGGAAGCTGGGAGCACATCATTGGGGTCCAAGCCAGCTGAGATGCTACTGACTAAACCTCGGCTGAAGGATGTCGAAAAAGGCGTGATGGTGAGCTGGGTGTGCCGACAAGATGTGATCACGCACAGAAGTGTTAAAGTGGTAGTCAGGTATATTTTGTTGACATTGAGTTGTGTTGTGTCCGTGGTGTCTTGTGGAGAGAGTGGTTAAGTGAAGAGAGCGAGCAGAAAATGACAGAGAAACAAGAAAAAATGACCAAAGATAACTGAAGAAACGCCGTCTGCTGGTGTGGGGGAGAGGGGCGGTAGAGTGGGGGAGCTGGCAAAGAAAGGATGGGGTTGGAGGGACGGGGCAAGTGGGGAGGCCACACCTTCAGCATCCTTGTTGTTGATGGGTATGGGTCGTCAACAGACTTCTCTGCGGGTGTTAGCGAGTGGGTGTGAGCAGAGGTATGGTGTGGGGTAGGGTGAAGATAAGGTGGTTGAAAGCGAGGCTAAGGGATGGCAGGGCGGTCCGTGGCGTTGGACGGAGGTGGAATGGAGCAAGTGAAGCGGACGCCGATTTAGTTGTTGTGTTGGTGTTGGTGGTGGGAAGCGGCGCCCATAGGCGAAGGAATCTTGGGTGAGTTACTGTCCCATGCTAGAAGGGTTACTTGCAGGGGGGAGTAGGCGAGGATTTTATTGATACGGGATGTGGCAGAGCGGTTGTTGAGTTCCCACGCACATCGCCGCACACACCTCCCCTACGTACATACAACACCCGAGCTCTCCTACTCACAGCCCGCTTCTCTCAGGCACCGACGCGCGAGAGCCCAGGTGACGTCTTCGCCAGAGCGGAAATCAAGGCGCTCGTTGAATGTGGAGATAGAAGGCTGCACAGGCAACAGCTGCAGCTTAGGTAGAGACTGTCAGCTGGTTTCGCACGGGCGAGGCTTAATTTGAGATATAGACGCGCCTAAGCCCCGCGTGAGGCTGTGTTCTAAATGACTTTATGGCAATTCGTGTCAAAGCCGTTGCGCTGATAGAGAGTTTGGTGATATGCCAATAAGACGTATGGAATACAGATGAGATCGAAAGAGAGGATTGACAGCTCGCTGACGAGTGGAATATATGAGGGACAGTCTATGGTCACTGCGAGAGTTTCATGTGTCGGACACGTGGCTGTGTTTTCATTTATGACCTTAATGTAGAGGGAGTGCGCCACGGTTCGTACATCAAGCACGAATTTCAGAATTCGGAGTTCAAGTTAGGGATATTGAAAAAGAAGCTAGAGAAAGCCACGTATCAATTGGGTGAAAGGTAATAGTATGATTTCTATTCTTACCAAAAATGACTCTTTAGGACTGTATTTAACGAATGTCATTACGTGAACCAGCGCCTTTTTTTATTCTTACTCCTATTATAACATCTTTATAAGCGCGAGTATGAGTACATTCTATAATATCTGTGCGTAGCCAAGCCACAAGTGTCGATTCAGTAATAATACTATATGCGCCGAATAATATTGGTTTGCCGTGAACGATTATTAATGCAAAACATAGAGCTAGATTCAAAAAAGTAAGCTGCTAGCCCGCAATTTTTTCCGTTCATTCTTTTCTTTTCCGTCCAGTCACGCAGCCCAAAAGGCTATCGATCGAGCTTCCAAACCAAAGCCCTGAATATAGCGCGCAGGCTTTTTCCCGCGGCCGGACGGCTTGGCGGGCGGGTTGGGCTCCACCGTGCGGGGGCGGTGGGCGTTGAGGCGGCGGGCCCGGCGGCTGCGAGTGGCGGCAGCGGGCCTCGCACGCCACGCCGCTATCGGCTGGACGCAAAACGCCGGCGGCGGCGCGCGGCGCGC